TCCTCCTCCTCCTCCTCCTCCTCCCTCCTCCTCCTCCTCCTCCTCCTCCTCCTCCTCCTCCTCCTCCTCCTCCCTCCTCCTCCTCCTCTCCTCCTCCTCCTCCTCCTCCTCCTCCTCCTCCCCCTCCTTCCTCCCCCTTTCTCCTCCTCCCCTTCCTCCGCCTCCTCCTCCTTCTCCCCCCTCCTCCCCCTCCTCCTCCTCCCCCTCCCCCCTCTCCTCCTCCTCCTCCTCTCCTCCTCATCCTCCTCCTCATCATCATCATCTCCTCCTCCTCCTCCTCCTCCTCCTCCTCCTCCTCCTCTCCTCCTCCTCCTCCTCCTCCCCTCCTCCTCCTCCTCCTCCTCCTCCTCCTCCTCCTCCTCCTCCTCCTCCTCCTCCCTCCTCCTCCTCCTCCTCCTCCTCCTCCTCCTCTCCTCCTCCTCCTCCTCCTCCTCCTCCTCCTCCTCCTCCTCCTCTCTCCTCCTCCTCCTCCTCCTCCTCCTCCTCCTCCTCGTTTTCATCCTCATCCTCCTCCTCCTCCTCCTCCTCTGCGGCAGAGTCGGATGCGTCCGAGATGGGGGCGTCCAAGGGGGGGCTCTTGTGCGCGGACTCGTGGGGGGCCAAGGGACGCACTGGGATCCCCAGGAGACCCAAAACTGCGAAAACGAGGGGTAGCGGCATCAGTACTCCTACCCCTTCCCCAAGATCTTGGGCGAGTGGTCACGGGGGGGTGATGGCCTAAATGGAGAGTGAAGAGATGGGCCCATAAAGAAGCCTACCCCTCGTCTTCGCCGTGGGATACGTCCGGGGGGGGCGTTCAAGAGAGGGGCCCGTGGGCGGACGCGTGGGGCCAAGGGACGCACTGCAAGAAGACGAAGGGGCCACAAAGGTTGGGGAGGTGTAATGGCCCCGGCCACGAGATCGGTGGTTCAAAGATGGGGTCCTGAAAGATGGGGTCCTAAGGACGGGGTGCCTCAAACAGCGCAAATCCACCATTGGATCCCTTCGTATCCTCAGGTCCCCGTCCCTCAGGACCCCATCGTTGAACCATCGATGAGATCAAACCCCCCCTTTCGAGCAGAGGTTCCCCCGTCTCATCTTCCTCGCCCCCCGAGGAACGTCCGATCTGCCCGTCGCCCGCCCCGACAGAGGCACCACGCTGCCGTGCAACAGCGCCTACGTCCTGACTCAATCCTCCTCCACTTCCTCCTCCCCCTCCTCCTCCTCCTCCTCCTCCCTACTCCTCCTCCTCCTCCTCCCCCTCCTCTTCCTCCTCCTCCTCCTCCTCCTCCTCCTCCTCCTCCTCCTCCTTGTACTTGTCCTTGTCCTTGTACTTGTCCTTGTCCTCGTCGTCATCCTCGTCATCCTTCCCTCCTCCCCTTCCCCCTCCCCCTCCCCCTCCGCCTCTTCTTCTCTCCCCCTCCTCCCCCTCCTCCTCCCCCTCCTCCTCCCCCTCCCCCTCCTCCTCCTCCTCCTTCCTCCTCCTCCTCCTCACCCTCCTCCTCCTCCTCCTCCTCCTCCTCCTCCTCCTCCTCCTCCTCCTCCTCCTCCTCCTCCTCTTCCTCCTCCTCCTTCTCCTCTCCTCCTCCTCCTCCTCCTCCTCCTCCTCCTCCTCCTCTCCTCCCTCCTCCTCCTCCTCCTCCTCCTCCTCCCCCTGCGTTCGTACCATGACAGGTTCAAAAATCCGTTGACGCTACACCAAGACTGCCGAAACGCCAGCCGCGGACCGGGAGCCATGAAACGCGGGGACCGCAGGCCCACGCCACAGAACAATATCTACAACTGCAGAGGAAGGGAAAGCTGCAGACACGCATAGCTTACCAGCCTGAAACATATCCCTATCCCTATGCAGGGCATCTCCTCATCACGATGCCAATCTTAGGGATTCCCTTACTTTTTGAGGGCGAATCCCTAAGATTGTCATCCCCTTTTGGCGTGTCAATCTTAGGGATAGGGATAAGTTCGAGGCTGGTGAATAGCCTGTCGGAGAGGCCCGCGCTGGGCCAACCCTCCACTGGCGCGCGGAGGGCGGCAGGGGCGGCACGGGAGGCGCCGCCAGGGGGGTCCAGCGCCGAGCCGAGGAAGCTGAGCGGACCTCCGAAAGCTCCTTCCCCAAGCGGTGCTTGCACCAGGAGCTGTCACACAGTTGTGAGAAGAAGTGGGCAGCACAACGAAGCAGAAAGGCGTCGGAAGCAGGCTGGACGTCCGCCCTGACGAGGAGGGAAGAGGGAAGGCCCCTCGCCACTTGAGACCTGAAGGCTCCCAAAGTAGGTGGAGAGAGCCAGGGGATCCAGAGCTGCTTGCCCTCGACCACCGATGGGCACCTGTGCCCTGAGGCTCTGGAGGGGTGTGGCGAGGCTGGCCCTGGCCTGCCATCGCTCGGACGTTCATTTCCCGTGCATTGTTCGGTTTCGTGCGTGTTCTTTTCTGCTCGATGGTCCAGGATGGTCCTCGATGGTTCTCGCCGAGAAAAAAATGCACACGTCCGAGCGATGGCAGGCTGGTGTCCGGCCGCTGGCCCCTGGCAGGCGCCGCGTGGGCGCCCTGTGCGCTGGGCGGGTGCGCCGAGACATCCCCCTCGGGCCCGCCCGCGGCCGCACCGTGGGCGCCCCGTGCGCCGGGCGGGGCGTGCCGAGGCGGCTCACAAAGGTGCCCGCCCGTGGGGGCCTCGCATGGCGCCCGGCGGGCGGACACCGCATGGCCTGCTTGCACCACGGGGCTCTCGCCGCACTGCCCGCGCCGCGTGGCTTCTGCGCAATCTTTATATTACAATTAAAAATATTACGTCTCTTTCTTAAACATTGGTTGTAAACAATACTTGAAGTTATCAACTGAATCTTAATGTCTGCACCGTACAGATCGCACCGCGTCGCTGTGCACCACAGGGCGCGAGCCACACGGGCTGCACCGCACAGCCGTACAGCGCACGGCCTGCACCAGACAGCGTGCACCGCACAGCTTCCATGAACGGCATGCGCCACGCGGCTGGCACCGCACCGCATGGCTCGCACCACACGGCTTGCGCCGCGCACCCTGCACATCCGCAGTGCACGAAGCCACTCGTTGGGGTCCACGCTGGCACGCGTGTCTGCGCAGCTTGCCCTTCCTCGGGACAGGAAGAGTCGGAGGCGCTCGGAAAGCTCCGGAGCGGGTCCGAGGCGGCCGCCCGCCCCGGCTCGAGCCGGGGGGCCGCAAGAGTCCTCTCGTGCGACGCCGCTGGTGCCAAGAGCAACGCCTGGAGGCGGAATGCAGTGGAGTCCCGCCTGGCGCTGATCGGGTACTGCCAGGAGTGTCTCGGCGGCCGCAGCAGGGGCGGAGCACTCGGGGGCGGGGGGGGGGCATTGGACAGTCGACCTGCACAGGAAGGAGCACGATGAGGATGCGAGGGCCGTGGAAGGCCGTGTCGACACGGTGCGAGAGAGCCGCGGCCAACGACAGTGGCCAGGGAGGAACCGAGGAGGCAAGGATGTGAGGGTGCACTTGGGCAGGTTGCCCATCCTTAGTACGCGGGTTGACTGTTCATGCATCTGGCTCCTGTCGCCCAGGTCTTCGACGAGGCCCTCCGAACGCGCGTAATAGTATCCGCCGTCCGGGGGCTCCGCCGAGTGCCCCGAGCCACGGCGTCCCCAGCTTCCCGGCCATCCTGGAGCCTCGAGCGCCCTCTTCTGGGTCCCGATCGGGGACACCCAAAGCCGCCACCGGGGGCGGCTGAGAAGGGAGGCAACAAGGTACCAAGGCACCTACACCACCACTCTCTCCTCTCCCAGGGGCACCTTCTGGTCAGGACTTCGAGACGAGTCAGACCGTGGCCACAAGGGACGGGAGGCGATGCGTCTAGGAAGCCACATGCGGAACCCTGCCCCTGAAGGTCAGATTTCTGAAAAAAGCAGCTGGGGTTCAGAGTCTTGAGGGTGTCTGCAGGCAAGTGAACCCTCACGGGGGAGCCCGATGCCTCAGAGGTAGGGTTCGCAAGTGGTCGCAGGACGGTGAGCTGGGGACACCCTGGGCAGCCCAGGGGGGGCACCCCTCGGGCTGGGAACCCTCCCGCTGCCAGCACCCGGGTGTGCAGCCCGCATCGAAAACTGCGACTACTGTGCCAGAGGGCGCAGCCCCTCCCCGTCGTCTCGCCTCCTGGTTGTCCTCCTCCCGGTCTGCCTCCTCTTCATCATCATCCTCCTGTTCTTCGTATGTGCATTATTATGTTGCTTGTGTTGCTTCGTCTTGTTATTACGATTTCGATTAGCATTACCATCGTGGTTAATAGTATGATGATTAGTGTTATTATTAGTGGTAGTATTATTAGTGTTATTAGTATTAGTAATATTAATAGCATTATCATTATTAATCGTACTAGTCCTAGTATTACTAGTATTCGTAGTAATATTGTTCTGAATGATAACATTACTATTGGTATCACTCGTATTATTATTAGTATCTTTACTAATATTAGTAATACCCCTATTCTGGCGATGAATAATATTATCATTCGCCGTGTTATTCGTAATCGTATTAGTGTGAGTCGCAGCACTGTTCTGCTTTTTCGAAATATTATGATGAGCAATCATCTTAGCACTCTTAATATTCATGTCATGCGTGGTACGAGTAACAATGTTACTATTAATATTATTATTAGTGTTAGTAGCATTCCCAATACCATGTGTAGTATTAGAATATAATTCCTCTTATTATGATTCATACTTCCATTCCTATTACTCGTAGTTATCATTACCATAGTATTATGATTCTTAGTATGCTGAATGATATTGTTCTTATTCGTATCCGTATTGTTCACGTTCCCAATGGTATGTTACTACTCTTCGTGGTAGGATTAATATTAACCAAGTTCGCATTCATATTATGATTACCATCAGTCTTATTATTGCTG